CCGAAGGTGCCGTCCACATAGATGCCGCCGTCCTTGGGGGCGATGAGGGAGAGCATCGCCTCCTTCATTACCGAGACATGGCCGGAGGCGGCGCTCACCGGTCCCCTCCCGGCGCCGGCGGCAGTTCCGGCTCGGCGGCGTCCTCGGAGGATTGCCCCTGCTCTGCTTTCCGGGCGGCTTCGAGGATCGCGGGGTCCCAGATCTGAAACTCGTGGCCCAGACCGACGAATGCGGCGTGGGTGGCAATCCCCGCATGGGCAAGCAGCTCGCCCGGCAGCAGCACGCGACCGTCGGCGTCTAAGGGGAGACGCTGAACGGCCGAGAAGAGCCTCATTCGCTTTCTGGTGGAAACGGTGTCAAAGGGATCGTCCGCACGGTACGTGTCGCTCCACTGCCTGAGGACATCTTCCTCACAGCCGGTCAGGGACTTGCTGCCATCGATCGAGGGGTAGACCGCGACTCCGTTGAAGGATTGCCGGGCCAGCTCGTTGCGGAAGGAGGCGGGGACGGAGACCCGCCCCTTTCGATCCACCTTGTTAACGAACGTGTAAGTGAAGAGAGCCACCGCTTGCTCCTTGGGCGCGAGCCCTGTTCGCCGTGCCGTCGCTCGTAACCGTTCCAATCTGTTCCCGGGCTCTTCCCGGGCTTTCATGGGATGGCATGGTACTTCATGGGACATTATGGTCGCAAGACAAAAATTCAAGTGTTCAGGCGATCGCGCAAGTGCAGCGATCCGACGACTCGAAACTCATGGCGGAGCGAGATCGGAGAGGATGATTAGAACGCCAGTCACAGCCGGTGCGACTAGTCCGCTAGGAGATCACTATATGTTTTGTCCCAAATGTTCTCTGTGCCGTTATTGCGGCGGCGGCTACATCGGGAGTCCCTATCGATAATCGGATATATTTGCGTCTGAGGATCAGCACCCATCCACCCCTCAATATATTGCGTTTAGAGTCCGCCGCTGCGGCGAGACAGGTGCCAGACGGCCTGTAAGCCGGGTTCTGTCCGTGGGCGTCCGCCCACGCGATGGCCATTCATCTGGGACGCCCGTCACCGGGCGCCTCGCGCGACCGACCCGGGCGGCAGGTCCGGAAACCGACTTGGTGCGATCCTGCGACCGCCCCGCGCCGCCCCTACTTGGTCTTGCTCCCGGAGGGGTTTGCCATGCCGCACCCGTTGCCGGGTGCGCGGTGCGCTCTTACCGCACCCTTTCACCCTTGCTCGCCGGCCTTGCGACCCTGAGCGAGCGGTCTGCTCTCTGTGGCACTTTCCCTGGGGTCGCCCCCGCCGGGTGTTACCCGGCTCCGTGCTTCCGTGGAGCCCGGACTTTCCTCCGCCGCGCGCCTCAGGCGGCGACGGCGGCCATCCGGCCGTCTGGCCGGTCCTGACTACGCCCGCGCGTGCCGCGTCTCGTTCAAGCCGCTCTCAGCTTCGTCGCGTGCAGCTGCTCTGCCTGGTCTAGTCACCGGCGTCCGTGCCGGCATCGATGACCCCATCAACGCGCGCCTGACGGAAATGCCGCTGAAAGGCGCGCACGACGGCCGCCGTAGAAGTGCCGAAGTCGGCGTCGGTTGCCAGCCCGTAGCCGACCGCGCGCAGCCGCTCCTGTCGCCGCCGACGGCAGCGCCACGATCGCCCTGGCGCAGTGCACGGCCCTCCCCCACAGGCTCGGCGACGCTCTCCGGCCAGAGGCCGATGCCCGCCTCGGCGAGGCGCGCCCAGTCGAAGAGCTCGCCGGGATCCTGCCGACGCTCGGGCGCGATGTCGGAATGCGCCACCACGTTGCAGGGGGTCGATGGCGTGCCGCTCTACGATCGCGCGAGCAAGGTCGAGCAAGGCATCCATCTGGGCAGGGGGGAACGGGCGGTAGCCATGCTCGTGGCCGGGATTGACCAGCTCGATCCCGATCGAGACGTCGTTCACCGAGCGGCGGCCGCGCCATTCGCTGAGCCCCGCATGCCAGGCGCGTTGCTCCTCGGGCACCAGCCGCCAGAGGGTGCCGTCCTCGCCGATGCACCAGTGCGCGCTGACCTTGGCTTCGGGCGCGGTCAAGCGCTCAAGCGCAGCCTCGGCCGAGACCATGCCGGTATAGTGCAGAACCAGCGTGTCGACCGGGCCGGCGTCCGCAGGCCGGTCGTCCCGATTGGGCGAGGGCAAGTCGATCGCCGCACGCCCGGCGACGCTCTCATTCGTCACGCTCTGCTCCGATTCCGCCTATTGCGGCACATCGTAGCCCGCACGTGGTGTTAGCGGATCTTCACAGCAGGCTCCCTCTTGCGCCGGAGCACGATGAGGGCCACGCCCGAGACGATGATCACGCCGCCCACGAGAGTCTGCCAGGTGAGCGGCTCGCCCAGGATGACGAGGCCGAAGATCACGCCCACAACCGGCACGAGCAGCATGAAGCCGGCAACCGTCGCCACCCGGTTGTGCGCGAGCAGATAGTACCAGGCCCAATAGGCGAGCAGGGTCGAGCCGAACACTTGGTAGAGGGAGCGAGCCGTGCAGGCGCCAATCGGGTTGCAGGAGGCTCGCGAGATGCCCCTCCTCCAGCGCGAAGGAAAGCGGGAACAGGATCAGCGCGGAGACCGCCGACATCCAGGCATTCAATGCCAGCGGGGAGATATCGGTGAGGCGCTTGACCTGCACGTTGGCGACGGCCCACGCAATGCTGGAGCCGAACATGAGCCCGATCCCCGCCGCATTGCCGGTATGGCGTGGTTCCCCCACCAGCACCACGGCACCGCCGAAGGCAATGGCGATGCCGACGATGGCCAGCCAGCCCAGGGCGCTCGTGCAGGACAAGCCCCGCCAACAGGGCGCTGAGTGGCACTTGCGTGATCCAGATGATCGCCGCAGTCGAGGCCTCCACGCCGATATTGAGCGCGATGTAGAAGAGGCCGAAGTGACCGGCGCCCATAGTCAGCGCGAAGAGGCTCACGGCAAGCCAGCGGCCCTTGGGCGGGCGCACGAACCAGACCAGCATCAACGCCATCAGTGTGAAGCGCAGCGCCAAGAAGAACAGCGGCGGCATGTGGTCCGCGCCGTACTTGCTGGTCACGAACCCGAAGCCCCAGAGCAGGGCCGTGCCGACCGCGATCGGGATGTGACTCGGCTGCATGGAACAGAAAGAGCGGCGGCGCCGACGCGCTTAGCGCACGGTCAGCGCAGCCCGCGAAGCTTGGCGATCCTGTCGTAGGCCGCGTTGATCGCGGCCATCTGCTCGTTCGCGACCTGGACCATCTCCTCCGGCATGCCCTCGGCGATGAGCTTGTCGGGGTGATGTTCCCTGATGAGTCTGCGGTAGGTCTGCTTGATCTGCTCGTCCGAGGCGGCGGGCTCGACGCCGAGCACCTGGTAGGGGTCGCTCTCGCCGCCACCCATGTGGCGCGACATGATCTGCGCGAAACCGCGCTCATCGAAGCCGAAAATCTGGGCGACACGGGTGAGAAAAGCGCGTTCCCCGTCGTGCAGCTCGCCATCGGCCATGGCGATCTGGAAGAGCGCGCCCAGAAGTTCTTCCCGCATCGTGGTGTCGTGCGGAAAGATTTGGACGATTTGCTCAGCATAAGGCTCGAAGCCTTCCGCCTCGCGCCGAGCCTCGTCCCAGATCCGCCCCACCGCAGCGGCGTGGGCGTCGGGAACGCGGAAGACCCGCTTGAACGCGTCGATCTCCTCGCGGGTGACGCGGCCGTCCGCCTTCGCCATCTTGGCCGCGAGCACGACCAAGGCGATGGAGACTGCAGCCTGCTTGGTCTCCTGATCCCTGCCAATGCGCCGGACACGGCGGCCACCGCCGGCCATGCGGTCCACGAAGTGGCCAGCCGCCACGCCCAGGATCGCGCCGATGGGGCCGCCGAGTCGCGAACCCCGCGGCGCCCCCGATCACCTTGCCCCAAATGCTCAACCGACGCGCGCCTCTGCATCCTGTCCCCAGGCACCATAGCCGCCCCACCCAACCCGCGCCAGACTGGGCGGTTCGAGGCCTTGCATGTTGCCGGTTTGCGCAGTAATCGCTGTTGCAATCCGGCCTGGGCGCTGGAAACATGCCGGCCCCGCGACCGCGGGGCGAAGCCCGCCGGCACGGCTCTGGGTAAAGGGAGATAGCATGAGCGAATCGACCGGGGCGCTGAACATTGCGCTTGTCGGCCCCTATACGAGCGGCAAGACCACACTCCTCGAAAGCATGTTGTTCGTGTCCGGGACGATTGGCCGCAAGGGCAAGGTCACGGACGGGAACACGGTGGGCGACTGGTCCGACGAAGCGCGGGCGCGCCAGTCGAGCGTGGAGGTCAACGCCGCCACGTTCTCGTATCGGGACCACCTTTTCACGGTCCTGGATTGTCCGGGATCGATCGAGTTCTTCGCCGAGACCGCCAATGCGCTCATGGGTGTCGATCTCGCCGTCATCGTCTGCTCCCCGGATCTGAATCGGGTCTGGACCATGGGGCGGCTGCTCAATTCCTGGCGCAGCACGACATTCCTCACCTCCTGTTCACCAACAGGATGGACGAGACGGCGATCCGGATCGCCGAACTGATCGAGGCGATGCAGCCGGTCAGCGACCGTCCCCTGGTGCCCTGCCACGTCGCGATCCGCGATGGCGACAACGTCTCGGGTTACGTCGATCTGATCACCGGCAAGGCCTACGAATACCGCGACCAGGAAGGCGCCGTCGGAGTCGACGCGCCCGAAACGGTCTCGGAGCGCCGGGAGGACGCGCGGACGCAACTCCTCGAGAGCCTGGCGGACTTCGACGATACCCTCCTGGAGAGCCTGCTCGAGGACGAGATTCCCAAGCCCGAAGAGATTCAGGCCTATCTGCGCGGCGTGCTCGCGGATGCAAGCGTGGTGCCGGTGTTGATGGGCTCGGCCGAGCGGGATTGGGGCGTCCGCCGCCTGCTGGAATCGTTGATCGACTTCGCACCCGGCGACGCTCTCGCAGCACGGCGACTGCCGGCGGGCGCCGCACGGCGCCACGGTCGGGCAGATCGTCAAGACCTACATCACCCAGCATGGCGGCAAGGTCTCGCTCGCGCGCGTATGGGCAGGGACCATCGAAGACGGCATGGTTCTGAACGACGGACAGCGCATCGGCGGGATGTACCGCATGCAGGGCCAACAGCAGAACAAGATCGACAAGGCGGGAGCGGGCGAGATCGTCGGTCTCGGGCGGCTCGAATCCATCGCCACCGGCGATACCGTCGCTCCCGCCGACGGGCCCGAGATAGAGCCGCTCCCGCGCGCGGTGCTACCCTCGTCGGTCTATGCCTATGCCGTGCGGGCGAGCCGGCGCGAGGACGAGGTCAAGGTGTCGGGCGCGATGAGCCGCCTCGCCCAGGAGGACCCGTCGTTGAGCTTCGCGCCCAATCCCGACACTCAGGAAGCGGTGCTCTGGGGCCAGGGCGAGATGCACCTGAAGGTCGCGCTCGACCGGCTGGCCGGCAAGTACGGGCTCGCCATGCGGACCGAGAAGCCCAAGGTCGCCTACAAGGAAGCAATCCGGAAGCCGGTCGCCCAGCACGCGCGCTTCAAGAAACAGACTGGCGGCCACGGCCAATTCGGCGACGTGCATATCGAGGTTAAGCCGTTGCCGCGCGGTAGCGGCTTCGAGTTCCAGGGAAAGGTCGTCGGCGGCTCCGTGCCACGCCAGTACATTCCCGCGGTTGAAGCTGGCGTGCGCGAATTCCTCACCAGCGGGCCGCTCGGCTTCCCGGTCGTCGACGTCTCCGTGACGCTGACCGACGGCAAGCACCACTCGGTGGACAGCTCGGAGATGGCCTTCAAGACCGCCGGCCGCATGGCGATGGCCGAGGCGCTGCCCAAGTGCAACCCGGTGCTGCTGGAGCCCATCTACGAGGTCAAGATTTCGGTGCCGAGCGAGTTCACGCCGAACGTCCAGCGGCTGGTGACGGGCCGGCGCGCCCAGGTGCTCGGCTACCGGGCGCGCGAGGACTGGTCCGGGTGGGACGAGATCACCAGCCAGATGCCCCAGGCCGAAATGCACGATCTGATCATCGAGCTCCGCTCGATCACCCTAGGCGTTGGCACCTTCGAATCGCAGTTCTATCGCCTTCAGGAGCTCACCGGGCGGCTCGCCGACGATGTGCTCGCCGCTGCGAAGGAGGACGACTAACGCCTGGCATATGGGAGAGCCTGGCGCGGCGCTGGCGCTTAGGGTGGCCGCGGCCGGGAGGCGCCTTTGCCGCCCTGCGGCGTTACCTGGCGCTCGTACTTCTCGCCGGTGCGCTGCTCGGCTTCGCCGCCGACGGCCGGGCCCAAGACTCGTACGACGTCAACGACCCGCTCGAGGACGTCAACCGGGCGGTGTTCGAATTCAATCTGGCGATCGACAACATCATCCTGAAGCCGGTGGCCGAGCTCTACGTGTTCGTGCTGCCGGAGGAGGCGCGCCACCGCATCGCGAACATCCTGAAAAATTTCGGCGAGCCGCTCAACCTCGTGAACAATCTGGCCCAGGGCAAATTTGAACGAGCCGGCTCGACACTCACGCGCTTTGCGATCAACTCCACCATCGGCGTGGGGGGTATCTTCGATGCGGCCACGGACTGGGGTTACGAGCGCACACCTGAGGACTTCGGGCAGACTCTCGCGTCCTGGGGCCTCGGCGAGGGGCCGTTCCTCATGCTGCCGCTTCTGGGCCCGTCCAATCCGCGCGACGCGGTCGGCTTCGGCGTCGACTTGGTGGCGGATCCCATGGGCTTTCTCCTAACGGACGAAGCCGGCTTGGCCCGCAGCATCACGAGCGGTGTCTCGCAGCGCGCCGCGTATCTGGACGAATTGGAATCAGTGGAAAGCACCTCGGTCGACTTTTATGCTGCAATGCGCGAACTCTACCGGCAGTATCGCGCGATGGAGATCAGGGACGGTGCGCCTCCGACAGTCATGGAGATTCCTGACTTCGACTTCGACGAGGATTTCGATGATGAGTGGTTCGAGGAATAGCCCGCCGCTCGGCGCCCCCGGACGAGGCAGAGCTGAGGTCCCATGAACATTCTCATCTCCAGACGCATCTTCATGGCCGCCGTCACCGGATTGGCCGTTTTGCTCTCGGCGACCAGCGGCCCGCAGGCCAGTTCAGACGACGACCCGGCGCTCACGTTCATCCAGAGTCTCGGCGACCAGGCCGTGGAAGCACTCCGCGACAACGTCAACAGCAGCTTCGAGGAGCGGGAGGCCGCATTCCGCGAGGTCATGGTGAATGGCTTCGACATTCCGATCGTGGGCCGCTTCGTTCTCGGGCGGCATTGGAGGACGGCAAGCAAGGAGCAGCGCAAGGACTATATGGCGGTATTCGTCGACTTCATCGTCCGCGTGTATGCCAGCCGTTTCGATTCCTATGGGGGCGAGCATTTCACGGCGCGCTCGGTGATCGATGACGAGAGCGGCGACAAGATCGTGCGCGCGCAGATCGTGCGGCCTTCGGGCGGCAATCCGATCGGAGTCGATTTCCGCGTACGAATGCGGGACGAGGACTACAAGGTCATCGACGTGACCGTCGAAGGGATCAGCATGCTGCACACCCACCGGGTCGAGTTCGCCTCGGTTGTCAACCGCAAGGGCATCGACGGGTTGCTGAGCGACCTCCGGGCGCGCGTCGAGGCACCGGTAGACTCCGGGAGCGAATAGCCCGGCATGATGACGAGTTCGCGTCCTCTGTCGCGGGCGGTCGTGCGCCCTTGCCGCGCCTGTGCGTTGCTCGGCCCGGTCTTGGCCGCCGCGTCTGTTCTTTGGCTCTCGGCCTGCGGCGAGCCGCTCCACCCGAGCAAGTGGAAGACCTCGCCCGACGAAATCCCGGAAGGCGAGGGCCTGCTGACCGGCGAGGACGGCGAGTGGGAGATCTATCGGGACAACTAGCCGCTGCCCTGGCGTGAACCCACGCGAGCGGGGCAGGCAACTGGCGAGGGATACGATGCAGTTTGGCGTTCTGGTGACTTCGCAGCCCAATCTCGACGTGGAGCCCTATCCGCACCGCGCCGTGCACGCACGGGTCACGCGGGAGATCGTGGAGGCGGATCGGCTCGGCTACGACACGGCCTGGATCGCCGAGCACCACTTTTCCAACCAATACGGCGTGCTGCCGGACCCCTTCGTCTATCTGGCGTATCTGGCGCCCAAGACCACCCGCATCGGGCTCGGCACGGCGGTGATGACGCTCCCGCTCCACAACCCGATGCGGATCGTCGAGAACGCGGCCTTCGTCGACATCCTGAGCGACGGGCGGCTGAGCCTCGGCCTCGGCTCCGGCTACCGGCCCTACGAGTACGAGGGCTTCGGGATTCCGTTCGACGCCCGCCACGACATCCAGGAAGAGGCCATCCCGTTGATCCTCGACACCTTCCATACGCGCAAGGCGAACCACGAGGGCACCCACTTCCAGCATCGGATCGAGGGCGACTACGAGATCTATCCCGCGAGCGTGCAGGAGCCGCATCCGCCGTTATACATGGCGGCGGGCACGAACCGCTCGATCGGGATCGCGGCGCGCCATGGGTTCGGCCTGATGCTCTCCACGCTACCCTCGTTCGACACCCTTGCCGGGCAGATCTCCCTTTACCGCGAGGCGATGGCGCACGCGCCGGCGCCGTGGAATGCCAACCCCGCCTTCGGCTCCATCAACATCGCCCGCTGGGTCTATGTGGCCGAGACCGATGCGGCGGCCAGGGAAGAGGAGAGCGAGGCCGGCATTATCCGCCACCTCGAAGCGTTCCTGGGCAAGAAGACCGCGGGCTATCTCGGCAACGTCTCGGAGAAGGAAAGCGCCGCGGCGTTCGACTACGACACGCTGCTGGAGAGCACCCTGATCCACGGGTCGCCCGACACCGTGAATCGCCCGCATCAGGGCGCTGCGCGCCGCCACCGGCCTTGACTCTCTGCTGCTCCATTACCCACCCTATTACGGCGAGGCGAACCTGCTGAAGAGCCTGCGGCTTTTCGCCGAGACCGTCATACCGGCCTTTCGTACGCTGCAGGCAGCACCGAGGCGGCCGAATAGCCCCGGGAGGCGATTTCGTGCTGAATTTTGGCTGCGGTATGAAGATTCGGCTTAGATCAGGCGCCCGCGATTCGGTACAATGGTCCTACCGGACGCTCACCAGACGACTTCACCAGGGAATTCGCGCCAAATGATGTCGCTCGCGCCTCAACGACGGACCAAATGGGATGCGCGGCGTGAAGCCGCCAGGAATGTGGATCGCGGACCGGGGATGATCTCGCTCTCCGACGAACTCGCGGAGCTCGATCGCCTGGAGGCGCAGGAGAGTCAGCGCCGCTGCCTCCGCTGCAGCCGCCTTTTCGATAGCGCGGGGCCGGGCAACCGACTCTGCGGTTCGTGCCGGTAACACTGCCGCCTCGATGGCCGACGAGGGCGCGCCCTTCCGCCATCCGATAGACTGGCGAAACCCCGAATTCTACGACAGCGCGGCGCTGGAGCGGGAAACGCGCCGGGTCTTCGACATCTGCCACGGCTGCCGCCGCTGCTTCAGCCTCTGCAATTCCTTTCCGCGCCTGTTCGACCTGATCGACGAGTCCGAGACGGGCGAGATGGATTCGGTCGATTCCTCCGGCTTCAAGTCGGTCGTGGACGCCTGCACGCTCTGCGACATGTGCTTCATGACCATGTGCCCCTATACGCCGCCGCATGAGTGGAATGTCGACTTTCCTCATCTCATGCTGCGCCACCGCGCCGCCGACCGCCGCGCGGGCCGGCGCCATACCACCGCATCCAAGCGGCTCGCCGAGACCGACAAGAACGGCCGCCTCGCCCGCACGCTGGCGCCGGTGATGAACTGGGCCCTCCGCCCAAGGTAACGGCCTCACCCGGCCGTTGCTGGAGGCCGTCGCGGGCGTTCACAAGGAGGCGCCGCTGCCGCGCTACCACCGCCGCACCCTGCTCGACCGCGCGGCCAAGGCCTCGCCTGCGGTCAATCGGCAGGCGCCTGCGGCCGGGCGCAAGGTGGTTCTCTATGCGACCTGTTTCGCCAACTACAACCAGCCGGAGGTCGGCGCGGCGGCCCGCAAGGTATTGGCGCACAATGGTATCGAGACCGCGGTCGTCTACCCCCGCTGCTGCGGCATGCCACAGCTCGAGGAGGGGGATATCGAGCGCGTCGCGGAGGGCGCGCGGCACACGGCGGCAGCGCTCGGCGAGTGGATCGACCGGGGCTACGACGTCGTCGCCCTGGTGGCGAGCTGCGCGCTCATGCTCAAGCTCGAATGGCCGCTGATCCTGCCGGACGACCCCGCGGTCAAGCGTCTCGCCGAGCACAGCCATGACATCTGCGAGTATGTCGTCGGCATCGCACGCTCGGAGGGGCTGGCCCCGGGGCTCGCCCCCATCGACGGCGGCATCACGCTCCATCTCCCGTGCCACGAGCGGGCCCAGAATGTGGGGCGCAAATCGGCGGACATGCTGGCGCTCGTGCCGGAGACCGAGGTCTCCATCATCGAGCGCTGCTCCGGCCATGGCGGTTCCATCGGCGTCACCAAGGGCTTCCACGAAACCGCGCTTAAGGTCGGCCGGACGACGGCGCGACGGGCGCGAGAGGCGGCGAATCCCTATCTCGCTTCGGAGTGCCCGCTCGCCGGCGCGCATATCGTGAACGGGATAGCCCGCCAGGCAGCCAAGGACGGCGATCCGGCCGACGGTGCCCCTGCTGCCGGCCGCGCCCACCACCCGATCGAGCTGCTGGCCCGCGCCTACGGACTCGCCTGAAATGACCAGCCCGCGCCGCGCGCTCACCCGCGCCGACATCATGGACATGGCGGACTATGCCAAGGTCCGGGCGGCGAAGCGCGCCGCCATCGCGGCGCTGAAGCGCCACCGCAGGCTCGCCGTCGGCCCCTTCGCCACATTCCATTTCGAGAGCTACGAGACCATGTGGATGCAGGTGCACGAGATGCTCCACATCGAGCGCGGCGGCGAGGAGCAGATCGCGGGTGAGCTCGAGGCCTACAATCCGCTGATCCCGCGCGGCGACGCGCTGATCGCGACGCTTATGCTGGAGATCGACGACCCCACGCGCCGGGAGCGCGAGACTCTATCGACTGGCCGGGATCGAGGACACCATCAGGCTGGAGGTCGGCGGTACCGCCGTCGCGGCACAGCCGATCGAGGACGAGGTCGCGCGAACGAGCGAGGACGGCAAGACCTCCTCGATCCATTTTCTTCGCTTCCCCTTCCCGCCGGCGGTGGCCGCAAGGTTCCGCACGCCGGGCGCGCGCGTCCTATTGGGTATCGATCACCCCGCTTACGGCCACCTCGCCATCATGCTCGGAGGAGACCCGCGCCGCTTGGCCGAAGACCTGGACGAGGGGACCGGCTGAGCGCCGCTCCCCCGTTCCCCGCCGTCAGGGCGCAGGCGGTCGCACGCCCCAGAGGGCGTTCTGGGGCACCCAACCCTCCTCGCCGGCGAGCGCGATGCGACACCAGCCCTCCTCGCAGCCGAGCAGATCGGCGATGACGCCGGCTTCGGCCCGCAGCACCGCCGGCGACCCGTTCAACGGGCGCTCCCGCATGGTCTGCACCCCGCCCATGATCAGGGCCGTACGGTGCGTCGACAGCAGCGATTTATGCATCCAGCCCTTCGTTCCTTCGTGATCACGCACCCAGCGCCATTGATCGAAGTGCGCGATCACGAGCAGCGGCAGGCCCGGGCGCGTGTAGACCCATTCGATGGGATAACGCCGGCCGGGGCCGACCCGGAGATTGGCGCGCTCCGCCTTGAGAGAGACGAAGCGCTCGCCGTCTTGGGCGCGAGCCTCGGGTCCCGCGAGTGCGGCGACTGCGCCGAGAAGCATCGCCAGCGCCGCGACAAGGGCGGCCGCGCGGGCGGCCGCGAAGAAGCGCTCCGACGCACGAGGGCCAAACCCCGGCGGCATATTTTCGCGCTGGCGGTATCGACGGGCGGTCATGGTGGGCCTCGGAGCCCGCGCGGCAGATTGAGTCGCCATGGGGCGTTTGCTAAACAGGCTGCCTGTTGCGGTCGGATCGAGCCCGCCGAGCCGCGCACGGAGGGTCGATGAAGCCTGGCATAAAGCTCAAGGTGATCGTGACGCGGCGTCTCCCCCGGGAGATCGAGGCGCGCATGATGGAGCTTTTCGACACCCGACTCAATGAGGACGATCGGCCGCTGGACCGTGAGGCCCTGGCGCAAGCCGTGGCGGAGGCCGACGTGTTCGTGCCGACGGTGACGGACACGATCGACGGCGACCTCATCGGCCAAGCCGGCCCTGACCTGAAGCTGATCGCGAGTTTCGGAACCGGCGTCGATCACATCGACCTCGCGGCGGCCAGAGAGCGCGGAATCCTGGTGACCAACACGCCGGGCGTGCTGACCGAGGACACCGCGGACATGACGATGGCGCTGATCCTCGCGGTGCCACGCCGGCTTTCCGAGGGTGAACGGCTTCTGCGCGGCGGCGACTGGCAGGGATGGGCGCCGACCACCATGCTGGGCCACCGGATCTGGGGCAAGCGCCTCGGCATCATCGGCATGGGGCGGATCGGCCAGGCGGTCGCACGCCGGGCGCGGGGCTTCGGCATCTCCATCCACTACCACAACCGGAACCGTCTCGACGGCGAGACCGAGGCCGAGCTCGAGGCGACGTGGTGGCAGAGCCTGGACCAGATGCTGGCGCATATGGATTTCGTCTCGATTCACTGCCCGAGCACGCCGGCCACCTATCACCTGCTGTCGGCCCGGCGGCTCAGCCTGCTGCGCCCGCAAGCGTACGTCATCAACACCTCGCGCGGCCACGCCATCGACGAGGCGGCGCTGGTGCGCCTGCTCGAAGCCGGCAGGATCGGGGGCGCCGGGCTCGACGTGTACGAGAACGAGCCCGTCGTCACGCCGAAGCTGCTCACGCTCGACAATGTGGTGGCGCTCCCTCACATCGGCTCGGCCACGATCGAGGGGCGCCGCGATATGGGCGAGAAGGTGCTGATCAACATTCAGACGTTTGCCGACGGGCACAATCCGCCCGACCGGGTCATCGATCCGGCGGGCTGACGGGAGGCTCTGATGGGGAGGACACAGCGATGATGTTGTCGGAGCGCGTAGCGATCGTGACCGGCGGCGGCTCGGGCATTGGACAGGCGACGGTGCGGGCGCTGGCCGCCGAGGGCGCGGCGGTGCTGGTCGCCGATATCGACGAGTCGGGCGGCGAGGCTGTGGCCGCGGAGGTCCGCGAAGCCGGCGGCCAGGCGGCCTTCCTGCGCACCGACGTCGCCGAGGCGGAGCAGGTCGAGGCCCTCGTCGATAAGACGCTCAGCGATTTCGGCCGGCTCGACCTTGCTTATAACAACGCCGGCATCGAAGGCCCCCAGGCCCTGCTGGCGGAGCAGGACATGGCCGCCGTCCAGCATGTTTTTGCGGTCATGATCGAGGGCGTCTACCTCTGCATGCAGGCGGAGATCCCGGCGATGCTGGAGTCGGGCGGCGGGTCGATCGTCAATGCCGGCTCCATGTGGGGGCTTGCCGCCTACCCGCTCTGGTCGCCCGTACATGACCGCGAAGCACGCGGTCTCCGGCATGACCAGGGCGGCGGCGCTCGATTATGCGAAGGACGGCATCCGGGTGAACGCGGTGGCACCGGGGCCGATCCTGACGCCGCTCCTGCTGCGCGGCTGGGACAACGATCCCTCCAACGCATCGGGCCGCGTGCCGATGGGGCGGATCGGCCGGCCCGAAGAGGTCGCCGACGCGGTGGTCTGGCTGCTCTCGGACAAGGCGAGCTTCGTCACCGGGCCACGTGCTGCCGGTGGACGGCGGCATGTTGGCGGAGAAGGGCTGACCCGAACCTCTCACCTCGGCCACGGCCTGCGTCGCGCGCTCCCGCGCGCGGGTGACATGCGGCGCGTTCGCGCGCGGGAACATGTCGCGCGGGAACGCGGGACGCTGCCACATTCTTTAATTCGAAGCGGGATTCGGTGGGATTCGGTGGGATTCCGCGGGACGGGCGGCGGCTGCCCAGCCGAGGAGCGCCCACTCATCTTGCCTCCGCCTGCCGCGGCCTGTTCGGTATTGCGCTGCATGGCGCGATACTGGCGCAGCCGGCGCGCGCCGAGCAGCGCACCATGGTCCGGGGCCTTGAGCGGGCTGACCCGGCCCCCTGCCCTTCTCAGTCCCGCCAGAAGCGGGGGACGAACAGCACCAGCACCGTGAAGAGCTCGAGCCGGCCGAGCAGCATGGCGGCCGACAGCAGCCATTTCGCCGGCTCCGGCAATGGCTGGAAGGTGCCGGAGGGGCCGATGGTCTCGCCGAGGCCGGGGCCGACGTTGGCGATTGCCGTGGCCGCGCCGCTGATGCTGGTCACATAGTCGAGGCCCATCAGCGCCAACCCCATGGCGATCAGCCCGAAGCTCACCACGAACAGGAAGAAGAACCCCATCACCGCCGGCGGCACGCTTTCCGGAATCGGCCGTCGGTTGAACTTGCTGATGAAGACGCCGTGCGGCTGGATGAGTTGACGGATCTGAAGCAGGGACGTCGATGCCAGGACCTGGATTCGGAAGACCTTCACGCCGCCCGTGGTGGCGCCGGTGCAGCCGCCGATGAACATGAGGAGCGTGAAGACGGGGAGCGCGAAGGTGCCCCAGGCCGAGAAATCGGCCGTGGAATAGCCGGTGCCCGTCAATATCGAGATGCCGTTGAAGGCAGCCTCGCGGAAGGCGTCGGTTACAGCGGCCTCGTTGGCCACCATCTGCCAGCCCGCGAGCGAAAGCAGGGCGAACAGGATCAGCCCGAAGAACCAGCGCACCTGCGTGTCGCGCGCCAATGCGCCCCAGCCGCCGCGCGCGGCCTGAAGATAGAGCACGAAGGGCAGCGAACCCAGCACCATGTAGACGGTGGCGATGCCTTCGATTGCATCGTTGCTGAAGTGGCCGAGCGAATCGTCCGAGGTGGAGAAGCCGCCGGTGGCGATGGTCGTCATCGAATGGCACACCGCTTCGAACGGCGTCATGCCGGCGGCCCAGTAGGCGATGCCGTTGCTGATCGTGAGCCCGAGGTAGATCATCCCGATGGCGCCGGCGAGCTGGGCCGCGCGGGGCAGCACCTTCTCGGAGCTGTCGGATGATTCGGTGTGGAAGAGCTGCATGCCACCGACCCTGAGCATCGGCAGGATCGCGATGGCGGTGACGATGATGCCGATGCCGCCGAGCCATTGCAGCAGCGCGCGCCACAAGAGGATGCCGGGCGGTGCCTCGTCGAGCCCGACGATGACCGTAGATCCCGTCGTGGTGAGCCCCGACATCGCCTCGAAATAGGCGTCGGCATAACTCAAGTTGAGGTCGGACAAGGCGAACGGCAGGGCGGCGAAGGCGGCGACGACGATCCAGCTCACGGTGGTGAGCACGAAGGCTTGGCGCACCGTTAGCCGCGGCTCCCGCATCTTGTTGGAGAGCACCAGGCAGGTGCCGATGAAGAGGGTAAAGGCGCTCGCTGCGAGAAACACCCGCCAGTGCGGGTTCGCCGTCACCCCGTCGGCGATGGCGGGCAGCACCATCGCGAGCGAGAGCGTAATCAGCAGAATGCCGACGACGAAGAGAACTGGCCGGAAATCCCTGACCGAGCCCATCGGACGGCGTTCGAGGCCTTAGCCCGGCGATGCGGCCGGGCCGGGCGGCCTAGCGCGGCACCGAGGCCGCCGGGTTCCCGATCATGCTGAGAAACTCGCGGCGGGTCTTCGGATCCGTGCGAAACGCGCCGAGCATCCGGCTCGTCACCATGAGGACTCCCTCCTTGGAGACGCCGCGCGTCGTCATGCAGTGGTGCGCCGCCTCGATCACGACCCCGACGCCGCGCGGCTGCAGGACCGACTCGATGGAATCGGCGATCTCGGCGGTCAGCTTCTCCTGAATCTGCAGGCGCCGGGCGAACACATCGACCACGCGAGCGAGCTTGCTGATCCCAATCACGCGGTGGTCCGGCAGATAGCCGATGTGGGCGCGGCCGACGATCGGCGCCACATGGTGCTCACAATGCGACCGGAAATCGATGTCGCGGAGAACGACCATCTCGTCGTAGCCGTTTGTCTCCTCGAACGTGCGACGCAGGATCGCATAGGGGTCCTGGCCGTAGCCCACAAAATACTCCTCGTAGGCGCGCGCGACCCGCTTGGGCGTATCGAGCAGCCCCTCGCGCTCGGGGTCGTCGCCGGCCCAGCGGAGCAGCACGCGCACCGCCTGCTCGGCCTCCTCCCTCGTCGGTCGCCCGCCGGCTCCCTGGGGCGTGTTGTCATCGGCGCCGGCTACGGGCGCGAGCTGGCTGTCGTCCACGGGTGGTCTCCCTTCTCCGGCCCCAGGCCGGTTGTACGGTGCCGCGGGGCCGCAGCGGGGCGGTCCGGGCGTCGTTCGGTTGTCTGGTCAGCGTGCCGGCGGCTGCGCGGCCTCAGTTAAGCTGCACGGGCGCATCCGGCGTGTCGAGCGAGAATGCCGGAATATCCACATCGAAGCGCTCGCCGTCCAGCGTTTCCATCTCATAAGTGCCGACCATGATCCCGGTCGCGGTGTTGAGCGGGCAGCCGCTCGTGTATTCGAATGCCTCTCCCGGCCGCAGCACCGGCTGCTCGCCGACGACTCCCGGCCCCCGCACCTCCTGGATGCGGCCGCGGCCGTCGGTGATCTGCCAGTGGCGGTTCAAGAGCTGGACCACGTCGTGGCCGTTGTTCTGTATCCGGATGTGGTAGGCGAACACGAAATGGCTATCGTCGGGCTCGGACTGCTCCTCCAGATAGAATGGCTTGACCGTGATCTCGATTGCCCGCGTTTCCTTCTGATACATCCACATCCTCCAAGACCAATCGGCTCGCACTATCGGCCCGGCGCAGGCGTTTGTCCAGAACGCCGGAGGGTGAACAAGCGACCCCTGGCGCAGGGCCTTTGCGCCCCCCTATAGTGGGTCCATGGTCCAATCGGCGGAAGCAGCGGAAGCCTTGGAACAGCCGAAACCCGTGCCCGCGGGTGGCGGCGGCGCCTTCGAGATCGTCTCGGCGTTCGAGCCCGCGGGCGACCAGCCCGAGGCGATCGCGGAGCTGATCGCGGGCTACGCGAAGGTGAGCGCGACCAGGTATTGCTGGGGGTCACCGGGTCGGGCAAGACCTTCACCATGACCCATGTGATCCGGGCATTGGGCCGGCCCACGCTGATCCTTGCGCACAACAAGACACTCGCCGCCCAGCTCTACGGCGAGATGAGGGAGTTTCTGCCGAACAACTCCGTCGAATATTTCGTGTCCTACTACGATTACTATCAGCCTGAGGCGTACGTTCCCCGCTCGGACACCTATATCGAGAAGGACGCCTCCATCAACGAACATATCGACCGCATGCGCCACAGCGCGACACGGGCGTTGCTCGAGCGCGAGGACGTGGTGATCGTGGCCTCGGTCTCGTGCATCTACGGCATCGGCGCGGTCGAGACCTATTCCTCGATGGCGGTCTCGCTGGCGCTGGAGGGGCGTGTCGACCAGCGGGCGCTCATCCGCAAGCTGATCGACCTGCAGTACCGCCGCACCAGCCAGTCGCTGGAGCGCGGCAGCTTCCGCGTGCGCGGCGACGTGATCGAGATCTTCCCGGCGCATTCCGAGGATCGCGCCTGGAGAATCTCGCTCTTTGGCGACGAGATCGAGGAGATCATCGAGTTCGATCCGCTCACCGGCGCCAAGACAGACAAGCTCGTGCGCGTGCGGATTTACCCCAACAGCCATTACGTCACGCCGCGCCCGACCGTGCGCCAGGCGATCAAGCAGGTCAGGATCGAGCTCGCCCAGCGGCTGGAGGAATTCAATGCGCAGGGCCAGCTGCTGGAGGCCCAGCGGCTGGAGCAGCGCACCCTCTTCGACCTGGAGATGATGGAGGCCACCGGCAGCTGCGCCGGGATCGAGAACTACTCGCGCTATCTGACCGGCCGCAATCCCGGCGAGCCGCCGCCGACCCTCTTCGAGTATCTGCCGGAGAACGCGCTCCTGATCGTCGACGAATCCCACGTCACCGTGCCCCAGTTGGGCGGCATGTTCCGCGGCGACTTCAAGCGCAAGTCGACGCTCGCCGAGTTCGGCTTCCGCCTGCCGTCCTGCGTCGACAACCGGCCGCTCAAGTTCGAGGAATGGGATGCCATGCGGCCGGAGACCATCTTCGTCTCGGCGACGCCGGGGCCGTGGGAGCTGGAGCGCACCGGCGGGGCCTTCGTCGAGCAGGTCATCCGCCCGACGGGGTTGATCGATCCCATCTGCGTGGTCCGTCCGGTGGAGCAACAGGTCGACGACCTGATCGCAGAGTGCAAGGACTGCGCCGCCCGGGGGCTCAGGGTACTTGTCACGACGCTCACCAAGCGCATGGCCGAGGACCTGACCGAATACCTCCACGAAGCGGGCGTCCGCGTGCGCTACCTGCACTCCGACATCGATACCATCGAGCGCATCGAGATTATCCGCGATCTGCGCCTCGGCGCCTTCGACGTGCTGGTCGGCATCAACCTCCTGCGCGAGGGGCTCGACATCCCGGAATGCGGGCTGGTTGCGATCCTGGACGCCGACAAGGAGGGTTTCCTGCGTTCCCAGACCTCGCTGATCCAGACCATCGGCCGCGCCGCGCGCAACATCGATGGGCGGGTGATCCTCTATGCCGACCACATGACCAACTCGCTCAGCAACGCGCTGGCGGAGACGGAGCGCCGGCGAAGCCGCCAGCAGGCCTACAACGTCGCCAACGGCATCACGCCGGAGAGCGTGCGAAAGTCGATCACCGACATTCTGGAGAGCGTGTACGGCGGCGATCACGTCACCGTCGAGACCGGCGACGAGGCGGCCCCGCACCTCATCGGGCACAATCTGGAGGCCCATCTCAAGGACCTGGAAACGCGGATGAAGGCGGCGGCCGCCGATCTGGAGTTCGAGGAGGCGGCGCGGCTTCGGGACGAAATCCGCCGGCTCAACGACAAGGACCTCGAGCTGAAGGGTGCCAGGCGCGGAGGCGGCGCGGGAGACACCGGAAGCCGGGGGCGGAGCAGCAAGGGCGCGCCCGGCACCTCGGCCCGAAAGCGCAGCAAGGCCAAAGGCAAGGGCAAAGGCGCCCGCCGCCGCAGCGCATTCGGCTGACGCGAGACTCCCACGCCCGGCCCATGGTCGCACTCTCGATCCTCGACCTCTCGCCGATCCCCGAAGGCGCGGATGCGGCGCAGGCCTTCGGCAACACGGTGGAGCTCGCCCGCCATGTCGAGCGCCTGGGTTTCCGCCGCTATTGGCTGGCCGAGCATCACAACATGGCGGGTATCGGCAGCGCCGCGACGGCGGTGCTGATCGGTCACGTCGCGGGCGCAACCGCGACCATCCGCGTCGGTGCCGGCGGTATCATGCTGCCGAACCACGCGCCGCTGGTCATCGCCGAGCAGTTCGGCACCCTCGAATCGCTCTATCCGGGGCGCATCGACCTCGGCATCGGGCGCGCGCCGGGAACGGACCAGATGACTTCGCACGCGCTCAGGCGCACGCTCACCGGCGACGTCAACGACTTTCCCCCGCGACGTGGTGGAGCTGCAAAGCTATTTCCAGCCGACACCGCCGGGCAGGCGCGTGCGCGCGGTGCCGGGCGCCGGCCTCAACGTGCCGATCTGGATTCTTGGTTCCAGCCTCTTCGGCGCGCAGCTCGCGGCCGCGCTCGGGCTCCCCTACGCCTTCGCCTCGCACTTTGCGCCCGCGGCGCTGATGCAGGCGATCCAGGTCTATCGCGAGCAGTTCCGCCCCTCGGAACAGTGCGCCGCGCCTTACGTGATGGCGGGCTTCAACGTCTTCGCCGCCGACAGCGAGGAGGAGGCCGCCTATGTGCGGAGCTCGGCCCAGCAATCGGTGCTGAACCTGCATCAGAACGCCCCCGGCCCCCTGCCCCGCCCGGTGCGCGGGTTCGAGGCCACCCTGGGTGCGCAGGAGCGCTCCATTCTCGCACGCTGGTTCACCTGTTCGGCCTCGGGCACGCGGAGACGGTGGCAGAGCGGCTCGGGGCGTTTGCCGAGCAGACCGGCGTGGACGAGATCATGGTGACATCGAACATCCACGACCACGCCGCGCGGTTGCGCTCATACGAGATCACGGCCGAGGTCGGCGCCGCGTTGGCTGGCGGCTCGGCAGCGCAGGAGGCGGGGCAAGCGGGGTGAGTGCCCGTTGCGACCGGGCCACCAGGCCCGGCGGCCGCCTGCGCCGGAGCACGATCCGCGTATCCGCATAGGCAAGCGGGAGGTGGGCGTGGGACTGGGACGAGATACGCGAACATTTCTTGTCCGGGATTAAGTGGGATTAAGTGGGATAAGTGGGATTTCGCGGGACGCGCGGCCCGGGCATGGCGCGCGACCCGGTAGAAGTTGCGAGCTGTCGCACCCGGCTCGGCCCGTTCGTTCGTGCACTGCATGGCGCGATCCTGGCGCAGGCCGGCGCTGCCGGGCACCGCACCATAGTCCGGGGTCGTCTGCTTTCCCCGGCCCTTCCGGTTCAGGCAGGAAGTAACGGGCGGCGCCCACGTTCCTTCCGTCCTTCAGGGGCAGGACAGGAGGACAAGGCTTCACCGAGCCGATCTGGCGGGGCTAAGAGACCTGAGCCTCCAGGGCGGCGCGGCGGGCGCGGTTGGCCTCGGCGGCGGCGGCGAGCTCGTCCTCGCTCGCATTGGCCCAGTAACAGGCGCTGATGCGGCCGTCGCCCCGGCCCTCAAGGGCCGGCTCTTCATGCGTGCAGCGCTCGAACGCGAGCGGGCAGCGCGAATTGAAGCTGCATCCGGGCGGAATGCCGATGGGACTCGGCGGCTCACCCTCCAGCAGGTTTTCCTCGGCGTCGTAGCGGCGCTCCTCGATGGTGGGCACCGCGCTCAAGAGCGCCTTGGTGTAGGGATGGCCGGGGTCGAAGAAGACCGTGTGGTTGTCCGCGAGCTCGACGATCTTGCCGAGATACATCACGGCGATGCGGGTGCAGGCGCGGCGCACCATGGCGAGATCGTGGGAGATGAAGATGTAGGTGAAGCCGTGCTCGGCCTGCAGCTTGTCGAAAATCTCCAGGAGCCGCGACTGCTCCACCTGATCGAGCGCAGACAGCGTCTCGTCCAGGATCAGCAGGCGAGGCTCCAGTACCAGCGCGCGGGCGAGATTGATGCGCTGACGCTGGCCGGCGCTCAGCCCGATCTGCAGATGATCGTAGATATCGGCCGGCAGGCCGACCTCGCTCATCACCTCGCGCACACGGTCCCGCATCGCGCGGCGCCCCATGCCGCCGTGGATGAGCAGGGGCTCCAGAATGGTGCGGCCGACCGGCATGTGCGGCGGCATGGCGTTGTAAGGGTCCTGAAGCAGGAGCTGGAAGCGGTGCCGGAGCCCGAGCAACCGACGGCGGTTCATCTTGGCGATGCTGTCGCCCTCGAAGAAGATCGAGCCCTTGTCGGGGGCCTCGATCCAGCTCAAGAGACGCGAGAGCGTAGACTTGCCGCAGCCGGACTCGCCCACGATGCCGAAGTTCTCCCCCGCCTTCACGTCGAAGGTGACGCCGCGCACCGCCTCGACATCGTTGTGGCCGAAGAACTTGCTCGGGTCGTTGACGCGGTAGGTCTTGTAGACGTCGTCCACCGCGAGGAGCGGGCTCTCGTCTTCCGTCGCGGGCTGCGCGCGCTCCTCCACCGCCCAGATGCGCGGGATACGCTCCAGCAACCGCTTGGAGTAGTCGTGCTCGGGCCGGTTGACGATGGCCTCCGGCGTCGAGCGTTCGATGATCCGGCCTTCCTGCAGGACGATGATTTCGTCCGCGATCTCGCGCACCATGGCGAGCGACGATGAGATGAAGATGATCGCCGTGTCCAGCTGGTCGCGAAGATCGTGCATCAGGCGGATGATCTGGGCTGCGATGGTGACGTCGAGCTGCTGGGTGACGTTGTCCGCGATGAGAAAGGCGGGATTGCTGACCAGCGCGTCGACGATCAGCGCCCGCTGCATCATGCCGCCGGAATACTGGAACGGGAACTCGTCGAAGCGGTGCTCGGGCCTCGGCATGCGGACCGCGCTCAGCACCTCCAAGGCGCGTTTCCGAGCATCCTTCTTGGACATTTCGGGCTGGACCGCGCGCAGCTTCTCCACGATCTGACGGCCAACGGGGATTGTCGGGTCCAGCGCGTTACCGGGGTCGGAGCCGATATAGCCGATCTCGCTGCCGCGCAACTTCTGCATCTCGGCGGCGGGGATGGTGAGCAGGTCCCGCCCGTGATAGCCGACGCTGCCGGCGGTGATCTTGAGCGGCTCCGTGATCGCGTTGCAGAGCACGTGGCTCAACACGGTCTTGCCCGAGCCGCTCTCGCCGATGATGCCGAGCACTTGGCGCTCGCGCAGCTCGAAGCTCACGTCCCGCAGGATCGGCTCGCTCACGCCGCGGCGGACGAGATCGACCGAGATGCCCTGCACGTCGAGGAGCGGCGGTGCCGACATGGGCTAGACGATCCCCTTGAAGAGCTTGTTGCGGGCGCGCTCCAGCGAAGCACCCATAAGATTGATGCTGATGAGTGTGATGATGAGGAAGACTCCGGGCATGGTCGGTCCACCAACTGTTCACCAGATACTTGTAGCCGTCGGCGATGATGTTGCCGAAGGTGGGCGTCGGCGGCTGGATGCCGATGCCGAGGAAGCCGAACAGCGCCTCGAAGATCATCATGCGCGCGATGTCGAGCACCGCGACGAAGGCGATGGGCGGCAAGATGTTGGGCGAGATCAACAGTGCGACGATCCTGAGGTCGCTCGCTCCCAGGATCTTCGCCCCCCTTACATATTCGCGCTCGCGCTCGGCGAGCGCGATACTTCGCACCACGCGGGCGTAGACAGGCCACCCCGCCAGTACCAGCACGGCGGCCACCGTGAAGGGGTTGGGCCGGCTCACGCTCAGGATCGTGATCGCCAGCACGATCACCGGGATCGAGAGCTGGGCGTCGGTGATGCGCATCAGGATGACGTCGACCCAGCGGCCCCAGTAGCCCGAGATCACGCCGAGCGTGCAGCCGACGACGAACATGATCGCGACCGCCGCCGCGGCGATGCCGAGCCCATTGCGCAGCCCCATCAACGAGCGCACGAAGAGGTCGCGGCCGAGCTGGTCGGTGCCGGCGAGATGGACCCAGGAGCCGCCTTCCAGGAAGACGGGCGGCAGGAAGCGCTCGCGCACGCTGATCTTCATGGGATCGAAAGGCGAGAGCTCCGGCCAGATGATCGCCGCGCCCACGAACACGGTGAAGACCCCGAGGCCGATCTTGAAGCTCGCCATCTCCCAGGCGAGGCGGAACATCCGCCGGGTGACGGATTCGCCGCGTCCCCGCACCTTGGTGCCTGTTGCGGTCTCGGCCGTCATCAGAACTTGAGCCTGCGGTCGACGAAGGTCGACGCGAGGTCGACCATGATGTTGACGAGAACGAGGATGCACGCCGCCAGGATGGCCACCCCCTGGATCACCGGGAAGTCACGCTGCAGCACCGCCTGCACGGTGGTGCGCCCGATGCCGGGATAATCGAACACGAACTCGGTGACGAAGACGCCGCCGAGCAGCAGGCCGCCGATCTGCACGCCGAACAGGTTCAGCATGGGGATCGACGAGTTGCGCAGCACGTGCTTGACGATGATCTGCCGCCAGGGAAGGCCGCGCACGACGCCGCTGGAGACATAGCCGGCCTGGAGCGCCTGGGCGATCGACATCGAGAGCCCGCGGATGATGATCGGCGCGAGCTCCACTGCCAGCACGATGGCCGGCAGGATGACGTAGGCAAAGTTCTTGTAGCCAATGGACGGCAACAGGCCGGCGCGTGCCGTGACCAGCAGGATCAGCACCAGCGCCAGCCAGAAGTTGGGTAACGATATGAAGACGGAGCCTATGAAGAAGGCGAGCCTGTCCTGCCACTTCTCCGGATTGAGGCCAGCCGCAATTCCAAGCGGCACCGCCAATACGAACGTAAATAGCAAGCCTAAGCCCGCCAGCATCAGCGTATAGGGCATACCATCCCCTATGACCTTGAGCACCCCGGCGCGGGTCATCTTCGCCTTGCGCTGTTCGGTGACGGTGTCCTGCCCCTTGCCGCCGGAGACGTTCTGCACCGTGAGCGCGATGCCGGTCTCGCCGATGAAGTAGGAGTCGCCGAAGTCGCCCTGCACCGCTTTGGCGATGTAACGGACGAACTGCTCGGGGATGGAATCGCGCAGGCCAAGCTCCTGCGCGCGGGCCTCGACCACCGCCTGGGTCGTGCTGGGGCCGAGCATGATGCGCACCGGATCGCCCGGAATGACCCGCAACAGAGTGAAAATCAGGAACGTGACCAGCAGCACGATGACCACGCCCTGGGCAAGGCGGCGGATCAGGAACGTGAGGACGAATGCCATGCGCGGACCGTGCGGAGGGGTGAAGCGAGGCGGGGGCTCCGCGCAGGCGGAGCCCCCGAAAGGCGGGTTCAGGACTTGAGTGTCGCCTTGACCTTGTCGACCGGCCCGTTGGGAAGGAAGTAGATCCCCTCGATGGCCGGATGATGGGCGTGGATCAGCACCGAGGTGAAGAGCCCGAAGCTCGGCAGATGCGCGGCCAGCGCCGGCATCAGCTCGTTCTGGATCGACGCACGCCGCGCATCGACGTCGGTGATCAGCTGCTGCTTCTCGATCGCCGCATCGACGTCGTCACTGCCGCAGTTGGTCAGGATCAGCCCGTCCGAATGCCACATCGGCCTGAGCACCAGGTTGGGCTCGGGCGAGCCGGTCATCCAGCCGGTGTCGGCGAGCTGGGGTGCGGTCTCGTCGCGGGTCAGCACCCGCTCGATCCACGACGCGACCTCCATCACCGTGAGCTGTACCGGGAAGCCCTGCTCCTGGAGGAGCGCGGTGATGACCTCGCCGTACTCCTTGGTCTTCGGATAGAAGCCCTGGGAGGTCAGGTACTCGATCGGCGGCAGGCCGTCGCCGCCGGGGTAGCCGGCCTCGGCCAACAGCTCCTGGCAGCGCTCGGGGTTGTATTCCGGCGAGCCGGGGATGGTGTCGGTGTAGCCGAACTTCACCGAGGAGAGCTGCCCCACCGTCGGATGGCCGGCCGGCCCCATCAGCTCGAGGATGAGGTCGCGATCGATCGCATGGGCCGCCGCGTGGCGCAGCCGCACATCGTCGAAGGGCGGCTCGTAGCAGCGGAAATGCAGGTACTTGTTCTCGGTGGACACCGTGCGCGAGGTCGTGACGTCCTCCTCAAGCAGGGTCTCGTACTGCTCGGGCTCCACACGCTCGATGATGTCGAGCTCGCCGCTGATCAGGCTCACCAGCCGGGTACTGGCATCGGGCACGAACTGGTAGACGACCTCCTCGATCTCGGATTTGCCGAAGAGGTAGTCGGGGTTGGCGTTGAGGATCGTCGTCGGCCCGTCGCGGCTGATGAACTTGTAGGAGCCGGCGCCGTTGGGGAACTCGTCGATGGCCTTGGTCTCGATGTCGTCCTTCGAGAGGATCGGCAGGAAGCCGGCGAGGAACCAGAACAGCGAGCCTGGATAGGAGCCGCCCTCGCCGCGCACCCGGCAGGTGTAGTCGTCGACGACCTGCACCTCAGCCTGGCCGGGATACCAGGTGCCGGACGGCCGTTCGGGATTGGACGCGTACTCGAAGGTCGCCTTCACGTCATGCGCCGTGAAGGGCTGGCCGCGGTGGAACTTGATGTCCTTGCGCAACGTGTACTCGAGCCAGCCGTCCTCGACCACGTTCTGGCTGGTCGCCATCTCGTAGACGATTTCGTCCGGCGCGGCCTGCGACATCGGGGTGCGGATGAGCTGGCCGAACACGTCGTAGTCGAAATAGATCTGCGCCAGGATGGTGTGGCTGCTGGGGTCCCAGCTCGATGTGAAGGGGCTCGGTCTGCCCCCACACGACGCTCTTCTTTCCTTGGCCGAGCGCCTTCTTGAAGAAAGGCGCCTGACCGCCGAACGCGGCGATCGTGCCCGCTGCGGCGGTGCCCTTCAGAAAATTGCGTCGTGTCGTCTTGATCATTGGAGCCTTCCTTCTGCGTTGTTCGTAGATGCCGATATCTCATGCTAGTACACCGCCGCCGTCACTGTACAGCCCGCGACAATGGGGGCGATTGCCGTCGGTTGCCCGGCGCTTCCCGCCGGCGATAGGATGGCCGAGAGGCAGGCGGGGGAGTGGCATGACGGTGGCAGCGGAACGTGCGGAAGCAGCGGTGACGCGGGACGATCTCGCCGCCCGGCTCGCAGCGCACCCCCGCATCCGGCTCGCGCATCTGCCGACGCCGCTCGACCCTTGCCCCCGGCTCGCCGACGCGATCGGGGTGCGCGCCCTCTACATCAAGCGGGACGACCTCACGGGACTGGCCTTCGGCGGCAACAAGACGCGCCATCTGGAGTTCACCTTCGCCGAGATCCTGCAATCGGGCGCCGACACCGTGGTCGCGGGCGCCTACACCCAGTCCAACTGGTGCCGGCAGATCACGGCGGCGGCGTGCAAACATGGCCTCGCGGTCTCGCTGGTACTAATTCACGGCGTCAAGGGGCCCCGGGCGCAGGGCAATCTGCTGCTCGACCGCCTGATGGGCGCTGACGTGACCGTGGTCGATATCGACAGCATGGAGAATATCCAGCCGCTGCTCGACAAGAAGGCCCGCGCTCTCGAGGCGGCGGGCCGGCGCCCCTTCGTGATCGCCCCCTTCGCCCTCGACCAGCAGGTCCTCGCGGCGCTCGGCTACGTCGGCACCGCGATCGAGCTCGACGCCCAGTTCGAGGACGTCGGGATCGATCCCGCCCAGGTCTTCATCTGCGGCGCCAACAACACGCCGGCAGGGCTCATCACTGGCTTGCGCGCATTGGGCCGCGAGGCGCGGGTGACGGCGATCAGCCCGATCCGCTGGGACGAGGCGCGGGAGCTCGACATCGCACGCGTCGCCACCGCGACGGCGCGGGCGCTCGACCTGAACCTCGCGATCCAGCCGGGCGACTTCGTCGCCGACGAAGATCATGTCGGCGAGGACTACGGCGTGCTCTCGGCGGAGGCGCGGGCCGCCATCAAGCTCGTGGCCGAGACGGAAGGCATCTTTCTCGACCCCGTCTACACGGGGAAGGCCATGGCCGGCCTTATCGACCATGTGAAGCGCGGCACCGTCGGCGCGGACGACACGGTCGTCTTCGTCCATACCGGCGGCATGCCGGCGCTCTTCGCCTACGCCGAGGACCTGATCGATGACGGCTGAGACGGCTGAGGCGCGCGCCGCCAGCCGAACCGACGCTGGCGCCGGCCCCGACGACGGCGCGCACGCGCTCAGGCGGCAGGTGGCGGCGCTGGAGCAGGCGCTGGCCGAAGCCGGGCGCGCCCGCGACGCAGGCCGCACCTCGGAGGACAGGTTCCGCGCCCTCTTCGACATGAGCCGGGACGGGATCGTGTTCGTCGATCTCGACGGCCATATCGAGGAGATGAACCAAGCCTATCTCGACCTTGTCGGCTACGGCCGCGACGAGATCTCCACCCACACCTATCAAGACCTCACGCCCGAGAAGTGGCGTGCCGGCGAGGCGGAGGTCATCGAGACCCAGGTCATGCCAGCGCGGTTTCTCGGACGAATACGAGAAGGAATACGTGCGCAAGGACGGCTCGATCGCCCCCATCAGCCTGCGCACCATCCTGGTGCGGGACCTGGAGGGGCGGCCGATCCGCTTCATGGGCATCGTCCGCGACATCACCGAGCTGAAGGAGAAGGAGAGAAGCGCTCAAGGCCTCCGAGAGCGCTATCGCGGCCTCTTCGATCTCAGCCACGACGGCGTGGTCTTCGTCGGCCTCAATGGTCCCGTGGAAGAGGCGAACCCCGCCTATCTCGATATGCTGGGCTACGAGCTCGATGAGCTCGTCGGCATGACCTACCAGCAGCTCACGCCCCGCCCCGCTGGGCGGCAATGGAGGCCGACATCGTCGCGGAGCAGCTTCTTTCGCGCGGCTATACCGACGAATACGAAAAGGAATATATCCGCAAGGGCGGCTCCGTCTTCCCGGTCGCCGTCCGCGCGATCCTGGTGCGGGACGAGACGGGTGCGCCGGTGCGGATCATGGGGATCGTGCGCGACATCACCGAGCAGAAGCAGGCAAAGGAGGCGCTGGAGCGCCACGCCCGCGACCTCGCCCGTTCCAACGAGGAGCTCGAGCAGTTCGCCTACGTCGCCTCCCACGACCTGCAGGAGCCGCTGCGCAAGATCAGAGCCTTCGGCGCGCTTCTCGCGGACGAGAAGCGCGAGAGCCTCGACGACGAAGGACAGCAATATATCGACTTCATGACCGACGCTGCGGCGCGGATGCAGACGCTCGTGAGCGACTTGCTGGCGCTCTCCCGCGTCACCACGGCGGCGCATCCCTTCGAGGACCTCTCGCTCGCGGAGGTCTTCGACACCGTGCTCTCCGACCTTTCCGTCGCGCTTGAAGAGGCGGACGGCCAGGTGGAGGTGGCCGCGACGCCCTACCATCGAGGCCGACCGCACCCAGATGGAGCAGCTCTTCCGCAACCTCATCGGCAACGGGCTCAAGTTCCGCAGGCCCGGCGATTGCGCCGCGCGTTACGGTGCGGATGGCGAAGGCGGCGCAGCCGATCGTGCGACACCGGGGCCCGCGCATACCATCGTGGTGACAGACAACGGAATCGGCTTCGAATCGTCGCAAGGCAGCAAGCTGTTCCAGCCCTTCAAGCGCCTGCACGCTCGCCACCAGTACGAGGGCGCCGGGATCGGCCTCGCCATCTGCGAGAAGATCGTCTTGCGCCATCATGGCCGGATCACCGCGTCCGGCACACCGGGCGCAGGCGCCACCTTCACGGTGACCCTGCCGCGCCGGCAGCCCCGGTGAGCAGCCGATGACCACACGCACCCAACACCCGGCCGGTCCTCATCCTGATGGCGGACGACGATCCCGAAGATTGCCTGCTGACCAAGAAGACGCTGCAGAAGGCGCGGCTCGCGAACGAGCTGCGCTTCGTGCAGGACGGCCAGGAGCTGCTCGACTATCTCGGGCGGCGAGGAAGGTTCGCCGACCCCGCCTCCTCGCCGCGCCCGGACCTGATCCTGCTCGACCTCAACATGCCCAACTGGCCGGGCTCGACTCGCTCTGGGAGATCAACCTCAGGCCGGCGCTGAGGAAGATACCGATCGTTATCCTGACAGCCTCGGAGGACAACCTCGATATTTCAGGCAGCTACAATCTCGGCGCCTATGCCTATCTGGTGAAGCCGGTCACCTTCCCCAAGCTGCACGAGGCCGTGCTGCGGCTCAAGAGCTGCAGCTACGAGCTTTCGGTGCCCGCGAACTCGGGCGAGGCGGCGCGGTCCGCGGTCATCGTCATGGCGGACGACAACCCCGAGGCCTGCCTGGAGGCGACCAAGACACTGCAGGCCGCGGGCCTCGGCAATCCGCTGACCTACGTCACGAACCGCGCTGCGCTGATGGACCACCTCCACGGGCGGCACGTCTTCGGCGGCGACGTGCCTGCACCCGCGGCCGGATCTGGTGCTTCATCGACCTCGACGGCCCCGAGATCGACGGGCGCCAGGTGGTCGCGGAGATCGCGGACGCGCCGGCGCTTCATGACCTGCCGGTCATCGTGCTGAGCGCGTCCAAGACGGACCCTCGGATCTGCCGCCCGCCGGTGAGGCAGGGCGGGTGTTCGTATCAAAGCCGATCGATTTCGGCGCGCTTTTGCCGGGGCGGTCTCGGCGAGTTTCCGTCATTGGCGTTGCGCCTTGTCACCGCAACTGGGGAACCGGCCGGCGCAGCCGGCGACTCCTAGGCGCCTGGAGGAAGAGGATGACGAGGCCCGATATCACCGAGAGCACCGTCCTCCTGATGGCGGACGACGACCCCGCCGACTGCCTGCTCACCGAGAAGGCGCTGCGCAAGGCAGAGATCACGTGTCCGCTCTATGTCGTCCACGACGGCGCCGAGCTGATGGACTTTCTCAAAGCGCGAGGGCGACTACGCCGATCCGGCGGCGGCGCCCCGCCCGAGCCTGATCCTGCTCGACCTCAACATGCCGAGGGTCAACGGCACCGAGGTGCTGGAGCGTCTGCGTGACGAGCCGGAGCTCAGCCGCATCCCCGTGGTGATCCTCACGACCTCCGACGAGGAACGGGATATCTCGAGGAGCTACGCGCTCGGGGCGAACGCCTATATGGTCAAGCCATCGGCCTTCGACGAGATGGTCTCATTCGCGCAGATCGTGAAGGCGCACTGGCTGGAGGCGGTACGCCTACCGCCTTGAGCGTCCTCCCCTCTCGTCCAGTTCTCCTTCGAGTTCGGCGAGGCGTTCGAGAATTCGGCGAACGTAGCCGTCCTCGATCATGTGGCCCCACCAGCCATCGCAGAAGCGTTCTCCCCGCAAGACATAGGTGAGCATGGCCTGTATTTGCCGCAGGGTCGCCCGCCTTAGCGCCTCCTCGCTCTCGATCAGCTTTTCCACCTCCCGAGGAACATAGTCGTAGTCGATCCAGCTATCGCGGCGGATGCAGTCCATGAACTCGTCCACGACCCCTTCATACTCGGGCCAAGGGAAGGCGATGACTCCGTCCTCGTCTTTGCTGTGCACGCGCTTGATCGGCACGAAACCGTCCGCATAGAGCTTGGGCAAGAAGGCCAGCAGGTCCCGGACATCCTGCGCCGTCGGCTGCGTGCTGCCGCTCTCTCGTCATCGCTTCGACTCCCGCTAACTCGTACTGCCGCATCGTGGACGAGCCGTGTCGGCTGCACCCACCAGGCCGGATGATCGCGAGCGATGGCGCCCGCCGCGCCGGCTGCCGCCGCCTCGTCTTCGAACAGGCCGAAACAGGTGCCGCCCGAGCCGGACATGCGGGCCAGCAGGCAACCGGGGGCTGCTGCAAGCCGCGCGAGCACCTGGCCGATCTCGGGCACTTGAGCGAGCGCAGGCTGTTCCAGATCGTTGCGTCGGCTGCGCAGCAGCGCGGCAAGCGCCGCCGCATTCTGCGGGGCTTCATCGATGCGGCTCGCGGCCGAGAACGGCCCGCGCCGCGCCGCGAAGACGGGCCCGGTGGGCACCGGCACGCCGGGATTAACCAGCAGCACGCCGCACGGCGGCAGCGTGCGGCGGTGCGCTCAACGCCTCGCCGATACCCGCCATGTGGGCGGCGCGGGAGTCGAGGCAGACCGGCACGTCGGCGCCGAGACCGAGCGCGGTCTCCCGAAGATCGCCTGCGTGCTCGGCGCCGAGCCGCCACAGCCGGGCGAGGCCGCGCAGCACCGCAGCCGCATCGGCCGAGCCGCCGCCGAGGCCGGCCGCAACCGGGATGCGCTTGTCGAGCGTGATGCGCACATCAGCGGGGCGGCCAAGCTTCTCCGCCAGCGCCGTCGCCGCCCGCGCCGCCAGATTGTCGCCCGCATCCAAGGCGTCGGCGAACGGGCCGGTCACGCTGAGGCGGAGGGATTCGGCCGGCGCGATTTCAAGCGTGTCTGCGAGCGCCGTGAAGGTGACGAGGCTGTCCAACTCGTGATAGCCGTCGGCGCGGCGGCCGGTCACATGGAGGTAAAGGTTGAGCTTGGCCGGCGCCCCGACCCTAACCCGCATTTCTCACCACGGTCATGGTCTGCGCGGCGGTATCCGGCCGACAGGGAAGGAACGGCGCGCAGCGCGATGTGGGGCATCGGGCAAGCGCAGTGACGCACACTGTCGGCCGGATACCGCCGCCCTACGGTCGGGTCGCACCTAGGCGCCCGCCGCGCGTCGCGGCTCAACGTATTCCCCGATACGCTTTTGGCCCGCTCTGGCGGATCGAACGCCGGGTGCGGGACGCAGGCCCACGACCGTGTGGCGATTTGCGGGTCAATTACCGCGGGCACTCTCGATTCTGCTTCGTCCGCCTCCGCCCCGGCGGAGAGGCCGTCCGCGAGCTTGCGCCGGATCTGGTCGGCGAGCTCGTCCTCCGGCTCAAGGGTAAGACGCGCCGCCACTGGAATTCCGC